AAAAAAAAAAAAAAAAACCCCATTGCCCATGTTCCTCCCTTCCAATAAAGTAAAGAAAAGTAGGAAAAAACATACCTCCTTCTTAACCCTTCCCAATGCCCACTCCACCTCCCTCCGACTCCCAATATCACACCTGTAATACTCAACCCCCGCAACCTCATCACTCCACCCCTCGATCTCCGCAACCTCCTTCACATCCAAAACCGCCACACTAACCCCCCTAAGCCCATAAATTCTCGCAATGAGCAGACCCAACCCACTCGCACCCCCCGTCACAACCACAACCTCCTCGCCCAGATCCACAGATCGAGGTAACCCGTATGCGATTCGGTGGTTCACAGCGCGCGCGAGAGCAAGAATTGTCAGAAGGGAGGCGTAGGTTGTTGCGAGGATAAAAGAGAGGTCTGTGTAGGGTGTTGCCTGGGCGCGGAGACTGAGGACGGTCATCCAGGCGAACCAGGGGTGGAGGAGGGTGCGGTTGAGAACGGAGAGGAAGAGGTCGATGGTGATGTGGTGGTGCCATTTTTTGTCGCGGGAAGGGGGTTTTGGTAGTGATAAAGCCGGGTCTGACGTTGGTGGTTTTGCCATTGTTGGGAATGGTATTTAGGATTATTATTCTTTGCGATTCGATCGTTTGTCAGGCATAACGGAATATAGGATGAGGTGTTGGAAGATCCAACTACGTTCGGAGGTTCGGAGTTTAGATATGGCCATATCGCACAATGCCATGCTCTACACAGTACAGGGGTACACAACATCGGGAAAAATAACTTTGTATTGAAAATGAGCAGCATTGGAATAGCACAATAAATTTAGCTGAGAAAACCGCCCCTTTAGAATTTATAACGTGCGTCAATATCCCTCTTGTCTTCATAAACTCCATAACTATCCCATTAACTCCGATCCCATGACAGAAGCACCTCAAACAGCAAAAGCGCAAGATCGATGTCCAAAAATAAGTTGAAAAAGAAAATCAGCGAAAAGGTAAAGAAGGCGTCATGCGGTTCCCCATACAGGAACAGCATCATTGGTTTCCGCGCAAGCTTTGGCAGACCCATGCAACGAATAGCTAAAGGTAGGACACGCAGGATCTTCTTGCATAATATCAAGATCATCCGGGTTGAGGGAAAGGTGAAGGCCATTACCAGCCCGAGGGTATAGCCGATGATCTTCGATTTCATATTCAGCCTCGTCATCTTCGGAGATCTCGCCGTGGCGCCGTTTCTTCCCAGCAGTTGACGGGTTATTGTCAGTAGGAGGTTGCTCCGCAGTAGTATCCCCATTCCCGTTAATTGAGATACTGTTGTTGGTGAATTCCTGGGACAAACTACCGGCTGCCAGTGGATTAGCTGGTGCCGCAGAAACCGAGAACGACATGCCAGACTGGAGAGGGAATTTGGACGACGGCAAAGACTTCAGGTTCCCAGGGAATATCGGGAGGTCCGGATTCCGGTCTGTTAAAGTAACTAACAACTCGACCAGAGTTGCATGAGACAAACTTGACAGGTAGCCACGGCACTCATCGCCTGAGAATCCCGAGCCTCCAACTTCAAGAGGTGGAATTTGTAGCTTTACCTGTGCGGGCTGCGTTTGTACAGCATAAGGATCACTCCGGACGACTGTCGGTTGGATACTGGATAGCGATACAGGTCTGCATTCCTTGCACATCCATTCCTTCTCCTTGACCAAGACGACCTCTCTGTCGATGCACGGATCATGACATAGTTGATGCCATGCCCTGTTGCACGAGTCGCAGAAAACAATAGCGTTGGTAAATGGACTATTTCCCCTTTGGCAATGTACGCAATTGGCATTGATATCCTTGCCCTTCCGCATAACACGTTTGCGCTTTCGTGCTGATCCAGGGGTCGTAACAATATTGCTAGATGGGCTCGGGACTGCAGTGGTATTCTTGCTGCCAACTGACGGAGACGGGGCCGGAGGAGGGACGTATAAGGAAGGACGATTGACTTGTCGACCCGATTTGGTCTGCGTTGCCATAGGTGCAATGTCAGATTCATCAGAAGTAGAGTCCCCGGCCTTTATGATTCCTTCACCGTCATCATAGTCACCACGTTTGCGTCTTTTCACGGTGCGTTTGGTTCCATTCGCAGACTGTCGGGCACGAGGAGCAGCTGCTTTCTGCTGCTTAGCCGTCCTAGTTCCTGGTATCATTGCTTGCGGTTGCGATTGTGGCTGTAAATGAGTTGATATTGGGTCTGCTGGCTTCGGAGCAAGATTAATGATGCCTGTTTCAATATAATCCTTCTCGGCAGGTGTCGGTATACTAGGGACATCCGGCCGCGACGGCGGCAAGTGCGAGGGTGTAATTTCCAAAAATGCAGAAGAAGACTTCATATTATCCGTGCCTTGTGCCTTCCACTTGTTATTCAAGTCTGTATCAAGCGATGGTGAACTCCAGCCAGTCATAGGATCAAAACCATCTTTCCTCGCGAAACTACCCGTCACCCGTGCCAAAAGCTCTGTAGTAGCCGGCGAGAGCTTGGGGATCTCAACTCTACCTGGGATAGTACTTGGTTTCTTTGTAGCATCCAACGGCGGTCCAACGGACGAATCGATGTTGGTGGTGTTCTGACTCTGTGACATTGACGAAGAGGTGGTCAACTGTGTGTGGGATGATGGCGTGGTTTCTATAGACGCCTGGGGAGAAACCCCATTTTCCTGTGCCATTCCCCAAGTTCGATGGATTGCAGCAATTGCACTGAGTGAGGGAAATAAAAAATATGTACGAATGTATGCCCTGCACGGGTTGTGTACTATCGCACGAAAGCGAAGCTCTACTTGCCGGGTGCAGAGGTCTGTATAGCATCACGTGACAAAAGGGATTTCTCCGCTTCGGTTGGGACGAGACACTGTCATTCACCTGGACACAATTACTGACGCCGAGGGAACATTTTACCATAATATTGTTGCTCAATTCATGTTATGTTCATTGCTATGTGGTGCTGGAGTTATATGACAGATGCTCATAGATCCCCGGGGTCCCCGACCCCTGTACCCCAGAAGTACATGCAGCTAATATAAATAGTTATGACAGGCATGTCGCTCTACGATACTACTCTCTCCTGCTTCAAACGAGCTATATCTTCCTTACCATATTCGATTCCTCCAAGGATTTCATCTGTATGTTGACCCAGAGTCGGGGGTGGCGTCCTGACGCCTGGTGTGGCATGCGAATACTTGATGGGCGTATTTACCAACTTGATGGGACCACAGTCCGGGTGGTCAACTTCGGTGACCATTCCACGTGCTTGGACTATATTGATATATTAGTTGGCTGTTGTGAAATTGCTAAGATCTGGTGACTCACCGTGAGAGTGGTTTAGTGTTCCTTGGATGTCGTTAACAGCAGCGTATGGCATCCCGCTTCCCTCGAAAACCTCGAGCCATTCCTGGGTTGTCTTCTGTTTCGTCGTGGTCTCGATTAGGCCGTCGATCACCTCTCGATGCTTCACTCGATCGCTATTTGTGACAAAGCGGACATCTGTCTTCCACTCGGGGTATCCCAATCGATCGCATAGCACTCCGAATAACTTGTCATTGCCGCCTCCGAAAAGGATGTCTCCGTCACGGGTCTTGTAGCTCCGGTAGGGTACAATGGATGCTACATGGTTGTCAGTAATTGGCTTCCAAGGGTACAGGAATGATCTTCTTCGCTTACGATGCGCGGTACCCCATCGTCCCGAGTCCTTCTTCCCACTGATAAGAGCGGAACTAGCAAGGTTCGACAGCGTCGCAACCTGGCAATCGCTCAGGGATGCGTCGATATGCTGCCCCTTTCCAGTCCGTCCACGGGCAATAAGCGCAGCCATGATTGCGTTCGAAGTATATAACCCCGTCGTTAAATCTGTAACCGCCACACCCACTTTGACTGGGGCGCCATCCCGCGCCCCCGTGATGTGCATCAGACCCATCTCTGCCTCGACCATCACGTCGTATCCAGCTCGGTTGCTGTATGGTCCCGTCTGTCCATACCCGGTGATACTAGCGTAGATCAACTTGGGATTGATGGCGTGTAGTGTTTCGTAGTCCATGTTGTATTTCTTGAGACCTCCGGGGAGGTAGTTTTCAACAAGAACATCGCATTCCTTGACGAGCTTGTGCAGAATCTCGACGCCGGGCTTGTGAGCGAACGAGAGGCCAATCGACTTCTTATTGCGGTTCACCTATTGCGCGTCAACTTGGGCCGTATGATTCAAGAACGAGGGATCCTATCGTACGGCTAGGTAGTAAGCGCTCTCGCCAGGGCCCTGTCGCGACTCATCCTGGTATTTCGCAAATGGCGGGCCCCAGGCTCGAGTATCATCACCACGCACAGGGTGTTCGACTTTGATGACTTCTGCTCTGTTCGAAACGGATGACATTAGCACGCGTGCGTGGCGATCTGTAAAATCGGATTGCGTACCCTAAGTCTCCCAGGATCTGCGTACAGTATGGCTAGCAGACAAAAGAAAGATCAGCATACTGAATGACAGTTAAGTAAAGCAGAAAAGTAAAATGGCTACTCACACCGGCAAGAACTCTGGTCATATCAAGCACCTTAATTCCAGTCAGAGGTAGCGTATCGCCAATAGCGCTCGAGTAGCTTCGTCGCCATGGTGCAGTGCGCCGGAGACCAGTCGCAGCAGCAACAGTAGGACTGTTCACCACTGGCCGACGGACAAGGGCCTGAAACTTCAATGCGACACTCATAATCACACACCCACTGAAACGATAGTCATCCCACTTTAATAGAGGAAAATGGATTGAATGGGTAATGGAAAGTGGTGTTACTTGTAGTTCGCATCCCACCACTGACACCGCTCGGCGATATATAAAGAGAGCCGAGGTCAACCGACCGACATCAATTCCGAGTTCCCTCGTTCACAGCGCTTTTTCGGATTATCGCACAATGTTTACTGGCCTTGTTGAGAAGATCGGGAGTGAGCCTCCCCCCTCACTTTTTTTTATTTGATAACCAGCCAAGCTGACGGGTTTACTACAGCGGTGACGGCCCTCGAGCCCCTCGACACCTCGTCGAGTGGAGGTGGTGGCACATCCTTGACCATCTCCAACTGCGAAGAGATCCTCACAGATGCTCATCTGGGCGATAGCATCGCCGTCAATGGTAAGACGACGCACTCCTGACACAGTAGTCGCGAAGAAAGACCACCGCGCATCCCCCTCCATGGAACGTGGGGGAGGGGAAATCAAGACGGCAATACCCAAACTAACCGCATACAGGAACATGCCTCACAGTAACAGCCTTCGATAAAACCTGGTTCAAAGTCGGCGTCGCCCCTGAGACCCTCCGCCGCACAAACCTCGGCTCCCTCCAGACAAACTCCAGAGTCAACCTCGAACGCGCCGTCAAAGCCGACACGCGCATGGGCGGCCACTTCGTCCAGGGCCATGTCGACACCGTCGCAACGATTCTGTCCGTGACACCAGAAGGAAATGCTTTGGTCTTCCGCCTGCAGCCGCGCGATAAGGGTGTTCTGCGGTACGTTGTTGAGAAGGGCTATGTGACCCTGGACGGGGCGAGTTTGACCGTGACCAAGGTTGTTGATGGGGAGGAGGGGTATTGGGAGGTTATGCTTATTGCATACACGCAGGAGAAGATTGTTACGGCGTCTAAGCAGGCTGGGGAGGAGGTTAATGTTGAGATTGATATTGTTGGGAAGTATGTCGAGAAGAGTGTGGAAAGTTACTTTACCCAGGCTTCTGGGGGTGACTACAGCATCCTGGAGAAGATGGTCTCTCGTATTGTGGATGAGAAACTCAGGAAGTGATGGAAAAAGAGAAGGCATGATTTACGATAGCATTATCTTATAATCTCTCAGTCAGCATGTACATTTTATTCTAACTGCAAATAGACTTGTGGGTATAATTTTTGAAGTCTTCCAGCGCAATAATACATTAAAGATGCTTTTCCAATCCTTGATCGTAACCGTTTGCTACTCTCACAGAGCGCAAATATTTATACGACTGGTACAGTCGCACATTGTAGGTAGTCATCACAAGTACGCGGCAGCCAACGAAGGTCTTCCGGACCAATGTTAAGCTTTACCGGTATGGGCTGTTGACGATAGCCCGTCATTGAGGCCTGAAGCGGACCGGGAAGGCTGTTGGATATCGGGCATAGGTCGCAGTGACAGGCGCACCCGTTCATTCCTCCATGGAATCGTCACTATCCACCTCACCTTCCTGCTCTTCACCCCCACCTTCCTCGAGGTCGTCACTGAGCCAGTCATCTTCATCATCCATCTCTTCGTCCTCATCATCACTCTTGACCTCCTTTCCTTCAGCTCTAGCCTTAGCGTTCTCCTGCTTCTTCTTTTCGACATTATCCTTTTGCTGCTTCTTTCTTTGCTCCTTCTGCTTCTTTCTCTGATCCCAGTTCCTCTCCATCTTCTGAACTTCTGCTGCAGACTTCGTAATGTAATCGTGCCACATGATCTTGCCGTCACAAAGCCCGTCCTCAACCTTGGTCAACCGGAGTCGCATGCGAGGACCCAATTCGACCAGCTTAACGGCCCGTTTCTCGACTTCGGGTGCGCTGTTTATTTTCTTCTCGGCCTTCTCTTTGTCGCCAGCCTTCATGCGCTGCAGATCTCTCTTGTTCAGAATCTTCCTGGTGGTGCTCTCCGCAACCTCAACCTCCGCATCCGTGTCCATTTCAGTCTCACTTGCCGAAGTGTAGCCGGCCGCCGACGGGTCGAGCAGGTAGTCCGCGGCATCTTCGAGCTTCCCAAGATTAGGAACAGCAGCCTTGGGATCTTTGTTCCGAACCTCCTTGGGATCGAGGCGGCGAATCCGTTTCGAGACACCGGTCTTCTTGGTACTGATGGCGTAATGCCTCAGAGTCATGATATACGAATCGCTTCCCTCTTCTTGCTCTCTGTTCAGAAGCATAATACGGCGAATAGAGGACAGCGGCGTAGCCTGGGGATTGATCGGAGGGAACATCGACTGGAAGATGGTTGTACATAAGCTCTCGAGACGCTTGGGCACTTTCGAATCCTCTGTCGCATCAGGCGAGTTGAAGTTGTTCATGACGAGCAGAGGTGGTGTTTTATGGTCCTGTCCACCACCTCTCGGACGCTTCAATGCTCTCTCAACGTCTCTGCATAACGAATAGTTCTCGACATGGAAATGAAGAGTCGGTCCGCGAGGAGTGAGCGCAAGACGCATGTTGGTGTTTCCGGTAGCCGATTTCGAGAAGAGCATGAGGTGCGAGACACCGAGAGGTCCAGTCATAACTGTGTAGTCCCTCAACCTGTTGGATTTACGTTCCTGAAGCACAAAATCTCCATTAGACATTGTTTGAAGAAACTTCATATTTTGTTCAAATCGCGTATCTCACCTTCAATCGCACAGCCGTATCAGGCTCCATCATCAACCGAACATCCTTAACCAGCTGGCTAACGCTCGAACCGACTTGCGAAGCGCCGACTCGAATGACCATAGACTTCGGAGTCTTGCTCACATTGCCGGATGCACTGACCCTGGCCTTGGCAGACGCATTAACCGCCTTCGAATGAGTACGATTCTTGACTCCTTTCGCCATTATGAACTAGTCAATGACAAGAAAATTGATATGCAAAAAGGTCAAGATTGAACGACGTCTAGAAGCGGAAGTGGACTTTTTTCTCTTTTTTTCTCCGGCGGAGACCCGGACGATCGCCGGATCAACGATGTTGCGGCGCCCAAAATTTATTTGGAGATAACTATCGAAGAGAAAAAGAGGCAAGCAAAAAAAAAAAAAAAATACCAATCACACTATACAATATGCCCGGATTCAAGAAACAAAAGACCGTGAAGCCGGAGTCGCGCAAGGACAAGGAACCAGAGCCCTCCAGCCCCGAAGACTCTGGCTCTGAAGCTGAAGAGACACCCGATAACCCTCAAGCACAAGATGAGGCCGCCGAAGCTGAAGACAAGAAGCCGCTCCCCAAGTCGTTCAAAGAGTTAGGAGTAATTCCGCAATTATGCGAAGCTTGCGACAACTTGGGATTCAAGGCCCCCACCGCGATCCAGGCCGAAGCCATTCCGTTGGCTTTGCAGGGCCGTGATTTGATCGGTTTGGCAGAGACGGGAAGTGGAAAGACCGCAGCTTTTGCTCTCCCCATTCTACAAAGTACGGACAGATTCCCAAGAACAATTGCTGAAGAAAAGACTTGCTGACAGGATGTTGAAGCCCTCATGGAGAAGCCCCAGTCCTTTTTCGGTCTCATTCTAGCCCCAACCCGTGAATTAGCATACCAGATCTCCCAATCCTTTGAAACCCTCGGCTCGACCATCTCAGTTCGATGCGCAACAATCGTCGGAGGTATGGATATGGTATCGCAATCGATCGCACTTGGAAAGAAGCCACACATCGTCGTCGCGACTCCCGGTCGTTTGCTGGACCACCTGGAGAACACCAAGGGCTTCTCGCTCCGCGGCCTGAAGTACCTCGTCATGGACGAAGCAGACAGACTGCTTGACATGGACTTTGGTCCGCTCCTGGATAAGATTCTCAAAGTCCTCCCTAGAGAACGCCATACATATCTCTTCTCCGCGACACTCAGTTCCAAGGTGGAATCGTTGCAGCGTGCCTCCCTCTCCAACCCGCTCAAGGTGTCTATCTCCTCAAGCAAATACCAGACCGTCTCAACCCTTATGCAATCATACCTCTTCGTCCCCCACAAGTTCAAGGACCTCTACCTGGTCTACCTGCTGAACGAATTCGCCGGCCAATCCGCCATCATCTTCACCCGCACCGTCCACGAGACACAGCGCATGTCTGTCCTGCTCAGAGCCCTTGGATTCGGCGCCATCCCCCTCCACGGCCAGCTTTCCCAGTCCTCCCGTCTGGGTGCCCTGGGAAAGTTCCGTTCCCGCAGCCGTGACATCTTGGTCGCTACGGATGTTGCAGCCCGTGGTCTGGATATCCCGTCCGTCGACGTTGTTCTGAACTTTGACCTCCCCAGTGACAGCAAGACATACGTTCACCGTGTCGGACGTACCGCGCGTGCCGGAAAGAGTGGTGTGGCGATTAGTTTCTTGACGCAGTATGATATTGAGGTTTGGCAGCGCATTGAGAGAGCCCTGGGCAAGCAACTTGATGAGTACGCTATCAAGAAGGACGAGGTGATGGTGTTTGCTGAGCGTGTTTCGGAGGCCCAGCGGCAGGCAATCATGGAGATGAAGGCCTACGATGAAAAGAAGGGAACCAGGGGAAAGAAGGGTAGGGGGAAACGGTCTCGTGATGAGATGGACGAAGAGGAGGGTTAATCTACAATCTACTTGCTACTATTTCTTGTCGGATATACCTATTTATGCCCGGTGATGATTATTATTTTTTGGAGTTTGACGGGAAAAGTTAAATAGATGTTTGCTTGACTTATTGACAGAGAATCATTCCATAATTTATGTTCGTAATCTCGTGCATAACCTGTACGGCATTGTAGAGTGGGCGACTTCGTCTTTTTTGTATCAATTAAACAGACGTCCATTTCGTCAGACCATGTTCGCTAAACGAAGAATGCAAATCATGAGGGTAACTTGAAAGCTATTAAAGAATGGATAACTCAAGAAGCTTGCAAAATTTCCTTGACCGAGCCAGCCTCTTTAACCGCGTTGGCAACACGGGTGGCCAGGTCGTCCGCTTCAGATCGGCTTGCAGCCTCTGCATAGACACGGACCGCGTCTTCGGTGCCACTTGCACGGGCGAAGCTCCGTCCCTTGTTGTATCGAGACATGAGGGATTCGATCTTGGTCTGGAGGCCTGGAGGCGACTCAAGCTTACGCTCCGCATCGTAAGCCTTGAAGATGGAGCGATCAGCAACCTCGACGCGGACGAGACGGGAGGGAAGATCAGTGTAAGTTCCAAGCCATTCCTTAGGGCTCCACGATTTGTGGGCAAGAATAGCTTCAACCAGGAGCATGTCAGAGATAGCATCACCGACCGCTTGGTTGATCAGGTCAGTGAGACCCTGAAGACATTCGATCGAGCGTTGCTGGGCCGGGGACTGAGGCTCGGCGCTCTTGATGATCTTCAGGGCGTTCTCAGAGAAAGTAATGGTACCATGGCCATTGGCTTCGAAGTAAACACCAACGTCGAAGCGCATAGCGGCATGGTGGAGATGCTTAACGCCAGTGTTGGTGCAGACAGACTGAAGCTTCAACACCTTCTCAATGTAATCCGTGCTGGCGCCGTTGGCGTAAGCAGTTTGGATGATACCAATCTTAAGGTTTTGCGCAATTCCAGCGCTTCGGGCCAGATCGCCAATGAATGAAGCGGCCAGAGTGGCAATGCGATCACCGTCAAGGAGGCGGAAGACGTTGCTCTCGTCAACAAAGTAGTAGACCAGACGGTCCGCGTCACCATCCAAGGAGGCGCAACGGTCGAGAACAGCGGCCTTCGAGGATGGAGGAGCACGTTGCTTAGTCTTCACATAATCGGCACCGCACTAATAATCAAAAGTTAGTTTGCGATTGTCTGGGTATAGGAAAAGTGGGTGCCATACGTCGAAGTTCAGGCTGTCGGGGTTAATGACGTCGTCGTTGACGACGTTGATATCAAGACCACCCTCCTCAGCACTGGGCAAGTATTTAATCTGTTCCCTCAACTTAGGTCCACCAACGCCGTTCGCACAGTCGACAGTCAAGCTACCCTTGACCTTGACGCCCCTCATCACTCTCTTGAAAGCCTCGGCAAGCTTTTCATAATAACCCTGCTCGGTAGGCTCGCCGTACTCATACTGTGTCCCGAGTGTGTTCTTGCAGCGGACGATATAGTGCAGTTGAGGGGTGGTCATATATTTCATGTCGGAAAACTCGACCTCTGTAGCGGTAAGTGCAGCATTGAGCACACTGACCAGACGAGAGCCAGATGCACGAGTGTCCCGAGCGAAGACCACACGAGCCGGGTTCTCCATGTTAACATCGATCTCTTGGATCAATTCCTCGTACACATCGGCAATCTTATCCAACGGAGCGTTGGCGAGCTTCGTCGCATGTTCCTCCCATTCAGCCTATCCAGAGAGCGTGAGCTAAGTATATCAATCGGATCCAATTTGCGTTAAGCCTTACTTCCAACATTTCACCCTATACCAAATTGTCAGTCCACGCCCACTCCACTTTTATTTTACCGAGAAAATGCAACATACCATTGGGTCAACCAGCTTGGCACCATTGTCCTGCGCGGGATTGTGACTGGCCGTGACCATGACACCAATCCATTGTCCGCTAAGCTTCCTGGACCGGAGTCCGGCGAGCAATCCAACAGCGAAGACGACCGTGTTGAGGAGATCACTGCGTACACATACGCATTGGTCAAAGTGTGTTTGTAACGTAAATGAAAACAGGGGCGATCGTGGGGTCAATTCGTGGAGGCGGGGCTGGAGGAGCTGATTCTCCCCAAGGGAAAACTTACGCCTTCATTCGGAACTGGACACAAAAGGCAGAGTCAGTACCATTCGCAAAAGACCGTTAATAAGAAACTACTTACCCCAGCAGTGCCATATTGGAAGACTGCCCCCTCTGGCTTGGTATAATTCAGGGCTGCTTCTGTGATCGCTTTCTTAACAGTCGGAGACGCCATTATGTCCACACACAGGAAAAAAAGGCAGTTTAGAGGGATTCCAGAACCGAAGAAAATGGTGAAAGAAAGAGAAAACTCCGGAGAGAAAGAAGAGAAAGCGAAAATGACCAGAAAAGCAGACCAGCAAAGAAAAATAAATCAGAAACGGCGATTGTGGCACGAGGTGGGAAGAACTGCCCGCGACGATACTGCCACGGCCCAAGCGGTGAGCGGTGGAGGCCGAGGTGGAAGTAACACTACAAAGAACTACGCCGTATGTATGACAGCTGGCAATACAGAAGTATGTATGTACTGTGTGCTGCAAGGAGTCTAGCGTGCTTTTATTTCGTGAGATTGGGTAATTATAGGGTTGGATTGGTCATCCACAGCCACCAGAGATTACTCCGGTAAGGAGAATATCATCCAAAGGCGTGAGTCTGAGCTCTCAAAGCCACAAACTCAAGCCTTGTACCGTATCCCAGCTACGTCGTTTTGAATGTCTTTGATAAGGAACCTACCAGTTACAACCGCCGTTAGCCAGTCAAATCGCGAGGGAATACGAAGGAGAATCAAGGAGAACTTACGAGTACCACCATGCAGTCGGAATGACGGTCCCGAGGTGCCAGAGACTGTGGGCATCGATCAGCCCATGCCAGGGGGGGAAGTCCAGCAGCTCCAGGCTCATGGCCAATATAATCCAGAGAACAATCATTCCTGGCCAAGCGGTCCACAATTTCTGCTGCTTCTGATACCGATAGATACTGAATCCGACCCACAGTACGTTCGATATCATTCCAACCACGATATTGGCAATCATATTGTAGGTATAGTCCCATGACCAGAAGCTCAGATAGCACACGTGCACGGTGTAAAGGACAGCGCAGAGCACAGTCAATAGACGGCGCAACGTCGGTTTAAACCGGGGTTTCTCCTGGTCTAGGCGCAAGACCCGGACAGCAGCAAGATAGAGACCATACATGACGTTCGCCCCGGCTCCGAAATAGTCCAGCTTCTCCGTGAGTGGGAAATCCCTGCAGTGGAACATCGTGCTAAACGTCCAACATGCCAGACCACAGTATCCAAACCAAACGTAGTATTTCCGGAGGGAATGCCAGGCTGGGATCGACTCCCGGATTCGAGAAATGCCATGCCAATGGGCCAGAAAGTTGAGCAGAGAAAAGAGGACAGAAAACGGTTCCTGCATGCCGATCATTCTGCGAAACGGCCATTTTCCATGGAACTGGACGATAGGAGTGATCATCGGAGGATCTCGAGCGACTCGAAGGTCGGTGACGACGTGTTGGCAGGTATAATCGCATTCAGCCGGACAGTTCCAGAACATGAGACGGAGATGGAGCGCTAAGTACAGACCAATTAGCCAGAAGAAGCAATCGCATAGTAAAAAAAACAGATAGACATACGAATAACCGAATTGCCATCTTTGCAATTCTCAGCTTGACAGACCTATTAAATCGTTTGTGAGCTGTCCTTTGCGATCCAAGTAAACAGCTAAACTACCTTGACACATTCTTTGAACTCCGGGAGGTGGTCTCCCAAAGAAGCTGAAGACTTTTCAATCAAGGTAGCAAATAGAAAAAAGACAAAAAGACAGGAGAATGTTCTCCCTCTAGCACTCAAGCCCATTGTGACAATTCTGCCAAGTACTGGCACCTTTCAGCGCGTGAGTTTCAGGAGAAGCGCCGCAATTGAATGTAGCTCCCGTATGGCGGCCGCAGTGGGCGGAGTGAATTCCGCCGGCAGTATGAAGTCTTGGCATTTTGCCCCGATACGGACATTACATGCCAATTGCCAGAGAAAGAGAGGAGTGAAAAAGATGCCGTATTCTAGTAATGCAATTAAAAGTCTCATAATCATTATTGACACATATGGAGAGTTGTTATAAACGTAACAGCCAGCCCTAATCAGGACAGGGCATTCTGATCACATGATTTGAACCCAAATCGGGCTAGTCTGATCTGGAGCAGAGACTAACCTTGATTGGAACATGGCGGAGATAAAAAAAAAAAAAAAAACGCTCGCGGCAAACCACCATCTTCCATATCGCATAGAGGACTTTCGTTTGGTTTTTCCTGTGTCTGTCCCTTCCCTCTTCTTTTATTCTTATCGACGCCCTCCGAATTTTCATTCTTTTTGGAATCCGAATTGCGATTTGCACTCCATCAACATGTCTGAGAGACAATCGTCTGTAGACCCCTCTGCTATGATGACCAGCAGCGCGGATCGTATGGTTGGCGATGACCATGCCGAAGTGCGCTACTTCACTAGGTACGAAGAATCTCCAACCATCCTGACTTATTTGTCAATATGGCTAACAATACAATAGCTACGATCACCATGGTAAATGCGTCTCCGGGATTCCGTTTGATTTGGTATACGAGTGGCTAACTTCGCAACCCCCCACTTAGGCATTCACGAGGAAATGCTTGTGAGCACCACCGTTCCACAACCGTTAATCCTACTTTATGCTAATTTGTGATTTCTTTATAGAAAGATGACGTTCGCACGAGATCGTACCGTGACTCTATCTACCAGAACCGCCACGTTTTCAAGGATAAGGTTGTTCTTGATGTCGGGTGCGGAACCGGTATTCTCAGCATGTACGTGCAAAAAGAAGCTACGAATCTCACGGGGAAGGAATTTATACTGATGGACGCTATCGTGGATAAAGGTTCGCTGCTAAGGCTGGTGCTAAACACGTAATTGGTGTCGATATGTCGTCAATCATCGAAAAGGCTCGCGAGATCGTCGAAGTCAACGGCCTGACCAGCAAGATCACCCTTCTTCAGGGAAAGATGGAGGAAGTTGAACTCCCCTTCCCCAAGGTCGACATTATCATCTCTGAGTGGATGGGATACTTCCTTCTCTATGAAAGCATGTTGGACACTGTCCTCTATGCGCGCGACAGGTACCTTAACCCCGGAGGCAAGATCTTCCCTGACAAGGCTACCATGTACGTGGCTGCTATCGAGGACGGTGAATACAAGGACGACAAGATTGGATGTAAGTTATACTGTCAGGGGTTGGACTTTCTGGTATCTTAGCCTAACGTCTTCTCCAGTTTGGGACAACGTGTGGGGATTTGACTACAGCCCCATGAAGGACATTGCCCTTACAGAGCCTCTCGTCGATACCGTCGAGCTCAAGGCTGTTGTCAGCGACCCTTGCCCGATCATCACTCTCGATCTTTACACGGTCCAGTCCTCGGACCTCGCTTTCAAGGCTCCCTTCTCGCTTCCTGCCAAGCGCAACGACTTTGTCCACGCCCTGATTGCTTGGTTCGACATTGACTTTACCGCATGCCACAAGCCCATCAGCTTTTCCACTGGCCCTCATGCCAGGTACACCCACTGGAAGCAGACTGTCTTCTATTTGCGTGATGTCCTTACCATGGAGGAGGGAGAAGTTCTCACCGGTGTGATTGAGAACAAGCCCAACGACAAGAACAAGCGTGACCTCGATATCGGCATCAATTACAAATTCGAAACCACGGACCCTTTGCGTTACGCCGAGAACGGCTGCTTCTTCCGGATGTACGTATTGTATCTTGTGTGCTATCCTCGGATCAGAAAACTGACATACACAGGTGTTAAATTTCTTTCTTCGATATCACGTTCTGCAAATCTCTTTCGGTAATTTCTTCTGCCTGTGGCATAGCATATCGACGATCTGGCAGCAAATGCGCATGGTCGATATGAACGACATAGTGTAAACAGAGGTTCCATTGGGGTGAACAATAATGATCGATTGGGGGGTTTTTTTTTATGTCGGCGTTTTTAATTTGAGTTATTGGAAGGAAAGGGAACTGCATCATTGTTTGGCGCGATACGGACAGAGACGATTATGAAGCTCCTCGAATTTCCTAAAGTAGATACCCCGTCCGAGTCGATGCTCAGTCTAGCCACCTCCGACGTTATTCATAGATTGTTTAGGCTTTTTAATGAGATCCCACTTACAACTGTGTTTTCTTTATCTGATCGCTTTACTGGTTTTGATTGGCCGGATGAGATGGTGCTCGGAGTTATACAGATCGAGCCTCGGCTCGCTCGGTAGCCCCGCAAGACAATCAATTTAAAGGGCGACGCGAACGGAATTAACTGCTTTCTGTCTGTTTGAGTCAATTGACTGTCCTTATTGTGTGTCCTGAGTTCATTAACTTCTTCGTCGCGAATCCAGACTTGAAATCACCGTTACGATGTCAGCGCCTGGAGCTGGTCACGAATTCCCGTCCAAGGAGGTTTCCTGGCAGAAACGCGATGTCTTGCTGTTTGCAACCAGCATTGGTTGCAAGGCCGATGAATTACATTTCCTCTATGTACGCTAGGATATCCAGTAATCCTGACATCTCCAACACTTCTGACCCTTGATCTAGGAACTCCATCCCAACTTCTCCGTCTTCCCAACTTACCCTTTGATCCTCCGTACGCAGTGACCGATCCCTTCATACATTGAACCACAGACATATTAACTTCTCGTACAGCCTTCAAGCTCACCGACCAGGAAGTCACCGACTTCTACGCGCGTTCGCAGGCGGCTCCGGTCCCCGGCATCCCGGACTTCGACTACCGCCGCGTAGTAGATGGTCAACGGAAACTTACCATCCTGAAGCCCCTTCCTACAACAAGCGCCGGCAAGAAGTTTGAATTGCGGAATAAGGTTGTCGGTGTTTACGACAAGGGCAAGCCTGGAACAGTTATGGAGACAGAGCAGTCGATTGTGGACAAGGAGACCGGAGAAGTGTATTCAAAGACTGTGAGCAGCAACTTCTTTGTTGGCCAGGGAAATTGGGGTGGACCGAAAGGTCCAAGTACCGTGAGCTATGCGCCGCCGGAGGGCAGGAGCCCAGACGCTATCGATGTGGTCCAGACTACTATGGAAACCGCTCATCTTTACCGGTAAGTTTCGCAATACCTGGCTCGGACATTTCATGCTAACTCCTGAGTCCAAAAGTCTCAACGGCGACTACAACCCTCTCCACGCTACCCCAGAGCCTGGTCAGAAGATGGGATTTGGAGGTGTCATCATCCACGGCCTTTTCAGCTGGAACTCTGCTGCCCACGGAGTCCTGCGCGAGCTGGGAGGAAGTGACCCCAAGAACATCAAGGAATTCCAGGCCCGGTTTGCTTCGCCTGTCAGACCAGGCGACAAACTTACCACGGAGATTTGGCGGATGGGCAATGTCCAGGACGGTTATGAAGAAGTCCGGTTCGTGACCAAGAATGACAAGGGCAAGGCCGTTTTGAGCAACGGCCGTTGTCTGTTGAAGGTTGTTGGTCCGAAGAACAAGCTCTGAGCGATATAACCCAAAGATGCATATTTAGCGATTGACTATTTAACCACTATTTTCATATATATAAACAAGAAAAAAGAAAACGGTCCTTGCATAGTAGTATGTTTCCCGTGTACTCCGTAGCTCAGGCCACTGAAACGAACCATCTTTCCCAGCACAAACAGTCAGAAGCGGAATATCTCGCGATCTACTCTGACTATCACTTACCCAAATATATTAAGAGTTTTCACAATCCCTGCAGAATTGTTGCCTGACTCTTCCTTTTGCCCGTATTGTACGATCGATGTCACGTGACCGCAGATGCAATCGTGTGGAGACGTCTTTCCATAACTTCCTTGAACTGCCCGGTACTCTTCAAGTCAGCTGCCATTGTACGATTCTAGGATGAGTATGCCTCGTCTCTCGTCTCCCAGGGTGCTTGCTAGCCCTTGGAAGAATGCTAGGTATGATCATTTCTCTGCGACTAAATTTTTCATGCGAAATGCTAACATGATGATTAGCGCTTCATTTACTCCCAAGCACATCAACTTGGTATGTATTCATTTGGGGATGTCCCAGTTTAGCGGAATGCCCTTTGCTCACTCTGCTTAGCATGTCAACTACCGGGGCCTGTCGACGGTTCTTAGGCCGTCGCCGCAGCAGCAACAGCAGCAGCAACCGCTGCAGTTTACCAGACGATTCTCGTCTCCGGTTGAGTCTGCAGCCGAGGGGCCTCAAGATGCTGTAGCTGAGAAGCAGGAAATGGTAGTTGAAACGGAGGGCATCCCAGCAGCAAATAGGACAGAGAATATCCCGCCAAAAGTCAAGAAATTTCTCGGGTACATTGAAATGGAATTTGTCGTTAAGGGGAGGCCAGCCATTGCATTTTAGTAAGTCTAATAGCCTTTAATAAAATATCTGAAGAACATCAATGCTCACCTTATTCTACAGTGGGGAATTCTGGCTCAGGTTGGTTAATCCCTGAGACGTTGCAATGGAAACACAAAAGGAAAGAAACTCATTTGAGCATCTAGGGACAACTGCCAATGCCCGAAATGTATCCACCCAGACACAAGACAGCGGAGTGTGGATACTTTCAAAGTATGATTCTCCCTGTACTTTACTCCTTTCGCGTTTTCACATCATGAGCGCTAACCGATGCCCTCCAGATACCGCAAGATGTCAGTGCCAACAAGGTCAGATATGAAAGCCGGGCCGTTGTAGTCGATTGTAAGTCTATCAAAGACACTGGAAAGTACCACTGCTAACTATACCCAGGGTCTGATGGACATACTGGTGTCTATCCTATCTTTTGGCTTCTTGCACACCAAAACAAATCTCCCGAGAGACCATACCCCTCGAAACCAGGACCGTCTTTGCGGTAAATGAGCCCTTCCTTGGTATGCTCATAGCTTATGCATTGTCTTGCTAATTTTTCGGGTTAGACGCTTCAGAAAGTTCCATCCGACTGATCCAAACTCACCTTATCCCACTGTCACACACGAAGAAGTTATGACAGATAACAAAGCCGTGTTCGACTGGCTTGAGAAGATAGTAGGCTCTCTTCAGCCACTCCTTATGCTAACGGACTCGTCAAATACTGATATCTTTCTAGTACGACTGGGGATTCTGCTTTGTCGAGGGCGTTCCTGTCGAACCAGAGGCAACACAAAAACTGATAGAGAGGATTGCCTTTGTCAGACATACCCACTACGGTATGATCTTTTGACAATTAACTACATGAGTGCTACTGCTAATAATACTCTAAAGGTGGCTTCTGGGATTTCACGGCAGACCTAAGTTTCAAGGACACTGCATACACGACGGAGTTCCTTGGTGCGCATACGGACAACACTTATTTTACTGACCCCGCTAGACTTCAACTGTTCCACCTCTTGTCTCACACTGGTGGCCAGGGAGGAGAAAGTTTACTTGTTGATGGGTTCCGGGCAGCCCAACTCCTGAAGCTCGAGAATCCCCAGCACGCTAAGGCATTGTACAAGTATCGACAGCCGTTCCACTCCAGTGGAAACGAAGATACGTGCATTCAGCCTGCCATTCAATATCCAGTATTCGTCACTCATCCCACGTTCAAGCGGCAGCTGTATCAGATTCGATGGAATAACTACGATCGCGCAGCCAAGGTAGACTGGAGCTCGAAGGAGCAGGAAGAATGGTACACTGCAGCACGGCATTTCAATGAGATCATACAACGGAAGGACTTGGAAATCTGGACACAACTTCAGCCCGGAACAGCGCTCAGTATGTGCACCTCCTTCTGCTCCTTAGATATGGCTAACCGGCTCCAAGTTTTTGACAACTGGAGAATGCTCCACGGACGTTCAGAGTTCATCGGAAAGCGTAGGATGTGTGGTGGCTACGGTACGTATACTTGGTCATCCCAGGCCCGCGGGAATGCATGATACTGATTTGCCTCAGTGAACAACGACGACTTCCTCTCCCGCTACCGTCTTCTCAAGTTCGGTCGTGAGGCTGTTTTGCGAAATCTCGGAAATACGTACAACTCTGAGAGCAATCCTAACATGTTGTTCTAGGTGCTGGCGCGTCAAGAAGACCTTGTCTGTTCGAGTCGGTTGAAAAACGAGGGTCAAGCTCTCTTGATGAGAGTGCGATACCAAACTGTATCGAATAAAGAATTTTGTGAAATACCCATAGTAAAAACATGTAAATTACTTGATTTAGATTATACCACCAGTGAATTTGCGGAGGGTAGTCTATTTGTAAGGGTCACGTGAAGCACCGGCGGCTGACGTTGTTTGGCCGGAGCTCACATCGTCGCCCGGAATCCATCCAGACAGCTCTCGCTCCCACTCCCAACCTTGTCATCTTTCTCCGAACTTCTCTTTTCAACACATTAACCTTTTAACGGTCCACTTTCAATTTTCCTCTTTCCGCACCTTTTTCTTAATACACTGACGTTGCCACACACCCACTCCGCCCACCATGTCCACTCTTGAAGATCTCGATGACCTTGAGCGTGAAGTGAGAGACCAGAAGCAGGACCAAGGCGACGGCGACGGCGATGGCAAGAAACCAGAAGGCGGCGATGGCGATGCCGAGATGAAAGACGCCGACGAGAAGAAGAAGGAAGAGGAGGAGGGCCTGTTGGATGAGGAGATTCTCAGCTCGAGTACGGCAGATATTGTCAAACGGCGGAGGATGCTGGAGAATGAGCTGCGTATTATGAAGAGTGAATACCAGCGGTTGATGCACGAGCAGAATACCATGAGGGAGAGGGTTAAGGATAATCAAGAGAAGGTTGAGAACAACAGGTATGGCTCTTAGATCGCCGACTCTGGAACTTCTCTTGGGTGGACCGCAGCAGGATAATGGAAAGAATATATCGCTAATTGCTGACGGATTATAGGCAACTGCCGTATCTCGTCGGAAACGTCGTCGAATTGCTTGACCTGGATGTTGAAGCCGACGCCGCTGAAGAGGGCGCCAACATCGACCTGGATGCCACGCGCGTGGGCAAGTCGGCTGTCATCAAAACCTCGACCCGCCAGACAATTTACCTCCCTCTGATCGGCCTGGTAGACCACGAGAAGCTTAAGCCTGGTGACTTGATCGGTGTCAACAAGGACTCATACCTTGTGTTGGATACGCTACCCGCCGAATACGATAACCGGGTGAAGGCAATGGAGGTTGATGAGAAGCCTACAGAGAAGTACACGGATATTGGTGGTTTGGATAAGCAAATCGAGGAGATTGTCGAAGCTATTGTGTGGCCCATGAAGGAGGCGGAGAAGTTCAAGAAGATTGGAATCAAGGCACCAAAGGGTATATCTATCCCTGTTTTATACGGTTGATGCCTTTGCTAACGTCTGCAGGTGCTTTGATGTACGGTCCTCCTGGTACGGGTAAAACACTCCTCGCTCGTGCATGTGCCGCAGAGACAAACGCGACTTTCCTCAAGCTTGCCGGTCCGCAGCTGGTGCAGATGTTCATTGGTGATGGTGCGAAGATGGTCCGGGACTGCTTCGCATTGGCCAAGGAGAAGGCCCCTTCAATTATCTTCATCGACGAGCTCGATGCCATCGGTACAAAACGTTTCGACTCCGAGAAGTCCGGTGACCGTGAAGTGCAGCGGACAATGCTTGAACTCCTTAACCAGCTGGACGGTTTCGCATCGGACGACCGCATCAAGGTCCTCGCCGCCACGAACCGGGTCGACGTCCTCGACCCTGCGCTTCTTCGATCCGGTCGTCTGGACCGCAAGATCGAGTTCCCTCTGCCCAACGAGGAGGCTCGTGCCAACATTCTGCAGATCCACTCGCGCAAGATGGCCGCCGATGACAGCATCAACTGGCACGAACTTGCGCGTAGCACGGACGAGTTTGGTGGTGCGCAGCTGAAGGCTGTCTGCGTGGAAGCGGGTATGATTGCGCTCCGGAAAGGACAGAGCAAGATCAACCATGAAAACTACGTGGATGCGATTGCGGAGGTACAGGCGAAGAAGAAGGACACCAACATGGGTATTTACGTTTAGGCGAATGTCACCTTTTTTCATTTCTTGGTATTCTCATGTGTTACCATTTATGTACTTTGAGGATTCTGAGCAATTCAAGCCATTAGTAATTTATCCCCCTACCCATAATCATACATGTGCAATGAAGATTTCATTTAAACTGCTACGACCACAAAGCTGGTGTATACCCCGTCTGCTCTATTTGTCTGATAGCTTCTTTGCGCAGAGAATCAAGAGGCATATCAAAGACGTCCCCAGCATTACGTTCTGGACTAATATTGAAACAACTTCCCACGGGTCAATCTGAGAGTCTGACTAGCAGGCTCTGCTACTTTTGACATAGGAAAGATTGTCTGTACAAAGATACTTGTTAGCCATTGTCCAGTCCTAACTATAAGGAGAGAAAGGAAAGACATACCTCAACCTGACTAACCCGCGGCTTTCCGTCCATACTACCCTCTAGCGTCCAAACCTCGACCGTCCCTCGAACCTGCATCGTCGCCTCCGAGTCCAACGACCACATCACCAAAACACCCACTCGGACCTCCCCATTACCACACATCAGCTATTCTTTGATATCGTCTCGAAGATGGCTAGCCTGCTCACCCCCGTCTGGGGTGTCTGGATTACTCTCGGTCCACCCACATTCGAAAACGATGCGCGGTAATAGACACTGGGAATGCGAGATGGAGAAGCTGGGGACTTTTTGGATGATTTTGTATGGTGATTCTGGGAAGGTGAATACTTGATAACACTTAGCTCACTATTATAGCAGAGTCTATGGCATGAGACGTCAAGCCAGTGTAGATGTGTGCTTACTGGTAGTCACCATAGGCTGAAGAAATTCATGTTCATCATCCGATAAGATACCACTATCACACCAGCTGAACTCGCACGCTCTGTACCATAATTGATCTGTATTCTGGAGGGGACCGAGAGTTGCTTTGATCTTTAGGATCTTGGTAATGGGGTTCTAGTATCTACTGTACGGATGTCAATTCCATGGATTTCAGTGTTAGATTAACCGGATCGAGGTACTTACAAGCATTTCTGCCGTTCAAGTGCAAAGTCAGCATCTTTGCCCCAAAAGGGACCAACGTCTGAGTAAGTCACGATAAAATTGTTATCGTGAACGGGGTTGGGATTGTTTCCGTGGCCGCGGACTTGTTCGGTGATGTGGGAGTAGAGGACTGTTGCAGTGGGGAAATGAGATTCGGAGTATGAGTATGAGCTAGGTTTCTGATCTTGAGACATTGTGGGGATACTATACAGCAGGATATCTTGTTTTCGGAACTGTAGTACTTGATGGCGAGTGAAAACTGGATGATGTACTGATGATGTCTGGATCGGGGTATACAGCATTCACTGCTTAAGCCCAATATCCCAACTCCGTTTATCTATCCCTTCACTTTAATCTGATTCAATTACGATACAGAGAATTCGAATAAATGGCGTCCTTACTGCTGGTGCCCTAACACCCGCTGAGCACGCCTTCTACGTTTCCCGATATTCCCTACAAAGACATTCAGAGAAACACCCAACTGGGTAATTGCAGTCCCTAGTGTGGTGCTCGAGGCAGATTCTCGGAATTAATGCCACAGCTTCGAAGCGTCCCAGCCAGTGGTTAGTTGGCGGAACGGTACAGTTCAGCTAAGGGTTCTGGTGAAAGCATAAAAGAACAGATGAGTTCGGCCTCTGAGCAGGGTACATTTGCCACGCCTTAGTCGGTATGAGATATTTTTTTCCCTTCCTTTGCCCTATACTGCTGGGGCTGTAGTGGCTAACAGATATAGAGACGATATTCCCCCTCTCGAGAACGTAGCGGCCGCTGCGAGTCAAGCAATGCAGACAAGCAGTTGACGGTTTCAATGAGGAAAAGATGCACATGGTACATTATGATAACGCCCTGGGTCATGCTCGACTGTCATTACTCTCGCCTACGCCTACGTTACGATAAACCGTGAGCTGGTCACAACAACAGACGACGGGGTGATTCCGGTGGTCTTTTCACCAACCCCGTTACGTTTATTGATATTGTATCAGGAAGCATATACGCTTTGCAAAAATTGCTTTGTTTTGCTTTGAACCGCTATCGATACAAGCATGAGATACATGCATTATACCCGTGGATGGCTAACTCCCAGACTTATTTATTCCAACATGTCCAAATACAGAGATCCGGAAATGTTCATAAAGAACAGGATATGACTCCTGCGAAATAGCATGGCTTAATGTGACCGTGTAGTTACTCGCTTCATAATCTCTAGGAAAACAAGTATATACCTCCTTTTCTTCAGCGCTCACATTAAAACTTAGGTTGATAATACCTGAGCTCACAGATACTTTGAATACAATCTCCACGTCAGTCCAGCAGCTACAGCTAACCTGTACCTAGCCGTTAATGAGTACGTCCACTGTCATTCATTCGATACTCAATGGAATCGAATTATAATTGACTTTGTGCGAGAAAGGCCGCATCAAGGCTCTAAATTGCGAAACATTGACCCCCTCCCCCGAACCATGGGGTGTGATCCAAGCAGCTACACAATAACAAGCACCGTTCTCGCCACACCATGTCCGCTATTCTGGTGATGTATGGCTAAGTGCAGCCAGAACCCTGTGCCCCAGCCCGAGAGTACTCTCTCTCTCCTCGTCCCAAACGGCCAAGAGAAACGATAAAGCGTACAGAGTACACCTTTCCAAGCGACATATCACTACACGCGTGTATATGGACTCTTTCAACAAACTATCACATCTGGACATTCGTCGAACTACCGACCCGGCCATCACCGTTCTTAGTAGAATAGGCGCAACGAGGATTAATCTCACCTAGAATCCTTCTCGAAATCGGGGTGAAACCCACGACAGCTCGGCCGGAAGGCCTCCTCCAACCACTTGCCTACTTCTATGCAAATTTTTGAAGTTTCTGAAGATTTGCATAGATTGGGAGAGCACTGGAAGTGCACCTGGAATTGGAATTTTCAGTGATTGGCTTCCTGGTGCAAGCAGTGGTCGCTCTACGTGGCGTGACGTTTAGGGCGGGGGACAAACATGGCCAAACTTGAGCCCAGAACAAACAAAAAGGTCCCAGCTTTATCTATCAGGATTAACCCCTAGATCAGGTTACTTGTCAAAAGGACCACGGATCCTGGTAAAGGAGCAAGGGAGCAGGGCCAGATATCGCGCTGGCGTTAAGATGATCCCGTGCCTCTTTCGATTCTACCTCTTCGTATGACAGGCTTATTGCGATGGCTATTATAATCGGAATGGAAGTTTCGTGGCACGAAAGATCTACGAGAGTTTCGAAAGATCCTCTGTAGAGTGCTTCTATCACAACATGAGATAGGAGATGTGGAACCAGAGGAACCTCAATTCTTAACTATACAAACCTTTTATCAACAAAACGGTTTCGACCAATCCTACTTACAAGTCATCGACCACGGAGCAGTTGCTCAAAATCAAATCTAAGTTTCCGAAACATACCCAGGACAGACCTGGTTTCTCAACCCTTTGGAACAATCGCCAAATACAGTTCCCAGGAGAAACTATCGCGCTGGCGCTCATGAAGAGCCTCCTAACAGTGGTAGCACTGTCATGTCTCCATCTAACCACAACTTGCCCGACCTATGGCTTTCCATTTTACGGGAGACTACTAGCAGTTGCCATGACAGTCGGAGACGATGGATTCCTTGTGGAGATGAGCGACAAAAACATGCAAATGTTTGGACTCTCCTCGCAATACTACAGAGCACTATGCCATGGAACCAGAGAAGACCAACATACTAGTTCCTAAAAGGATAGGCCTACGCTGGTCCACATCATGAACAGGAAGATCAATGTGGAGTAGATCTACGACACTAGTTAAAACGAACCAATAGTTTCAATAGCATAATTCTCAATAACAATTATTAGTATCCTAACCTAACCAATCCCAACCTAACCTAACCTAACCGCCCTACCTGCCATGCCAGCGCCATGGAACACAAAAGAAAAAAAAAAAAAAAAAAAAAAAAAAAGACATAACATGTTGCCTCCCATTTTGCAATAACCAAGTTCCAATAACATTATCTGGTGGTATATAGATGGTATATATAATGGCCAAGTATATGCAGAATCAAAGAAAACACCTGCACAGCATGTGTATAAAGAAAGGAACCGAGAGAATCTCGAAATGATGAGGGGAAGAAAAAGAGAATAAATGTACAGACCACAGCGAAAGAATCATCATCAATACCATAAACGCCATCCCGGTGCGTGCCTTTTTGAGGTACCGTGTCCCATGGCATAAGAAGAAAAAAGTCGGGCCAAAAGCCCAGGCTAGAATAGCCGCTTGAGATCGATCACGTCCATATGATTTGGACGATCCCGTTCCATGTGGAACCACCAATCTCGACCGTTCTTATGCCCGTAATTCCATGACCCTGTGCAGGTCTCTTTCTCCCAGGGGAGATGTGGTGTTGACCCAAAACTCATCGGTGTTGAGGGTGTTGTGGGTGTTGCTGGACTGTTGGTGTTGAGGGACATCATGGATCGACTGCCGATACTACCCCATAACCGTGGTGTCGTAATGGCTGTCGAAGCCGGAGAGGCTGGCTCCTCCGGAGGCGGTCGTGGCCCTGTCTTATTCCCAAAGCAATGTACCCCGACACCTGCTGCATAGTTGAGCGACTGATTGGCTGCCAGAATGTGTTTCCACGCGACGAGACCACCATCCGCGTCTTGTCCAGGGAGATCGGGGCGCAAAATGAACTTTGGAATCGACACGTCCCGATAAGTTGAGCGCGACCCTATACGCCCCATATATGCAGGCATGTGGAAATCAAATACCGTGACTGGCCCATTCGATTGTTTCTGCTCTGCTGCCGCTGTGGGGTTAAGCTGAGGCCGCTCGCGGGCTGACCAAGATCCAAAAGCTTCCATATCGGCATCAAAATCATCATCGTCATCAGACTCGGCATCCTCCAGCGCATTGTCGGGTACGTAGGAATCCGAGTGGTCTGTAATCAAACACCTCATCCCGGTCTCAGAGTCCTTAGCGGCCATATCGATAAATGTCTGGGCGCGGATGCGAGCCGAAGTCAGGTTGTTGCCAGCAGGAAGGGCCATTGGTCGTGCTTTAACGGAACCATGGGAGCTGCGGGGCAAACTGTAGCGATCCGGCTGAAGCAGAGCCTGTCCCTTGGGGATCGGTTGACAGACGGCTTGCAGAACACCTGGGGGCTCGATGTCGGACGGAGCGCGCAGCGCTTGGAGACGCGGAAACCCTGCAGAGATGATGCTCTGGGCGAGGTGAGAGTTGGGGGTATCGGTGTGCTTAGGGGGCTTGACAAAGGGAGCATAGTCCAGCTTGCTCAACGCCGTGCCGGGATTCGGAACGGCGACATCCCAATGTAAGTATTTCAGTGTTGATGAGGCCAGGATAGGTTGGAATACCATGGCATCGGGTTCGACCTGCGGGCATGTGTCGGATTGAACAATCTGGAAACGCTCCAGCTGGCGCAGAGAGGAGAGAATCTTGGAAATGACCAGTAACGACTCAACCTTCTGCTCGATCAAGGTCAACGATTTGAGAGATTGTGACTCGGGCCGCGAGGTATATTGAGTCAGACCGGTGTCAGTAACACCGGGAAGACGCTCGAGCCGCAGGGACTCGAGAGGCGGGAGACAGAGAAGAGCGCTGTCGGCAAAGGCATCTGCATGGAAGCCAGTGATACAGAGATGTCGAAGGGAGGGCAGCATGGTGAGCATGCGTAGGAAAATGCTGGGTTCAAGGGTGCTCTTGTTCTCGTCGAGGGCGTAAAGAGTCATGGTCTCGAGATGGGACCAGGAGGCATGGTAGTCAAGAAACTCAAACATCTGCAGGGGTCCAAGACTACCGGGGCAGGAGGAAATGCGTGGAGACAACTCGGAAGCCTCAGAAGTCTCGCGGGCCTCGCCAATTACCCAGGTATGTTCCTTGAGCTTCTTGCGGGTGGAAAGGGCGTGTGTGAGACGGTCGAATTCGTGATGGTACGGAATGGAGAGGCCGAGCAGACGTTCGAGACTGGGGCAGACCATGACGACGGAGGCGACGAGATCGCGGTACTCCTCCCACTGAGCGACGTGTTTCCCGGAAGTGAAGAGCAGCTCCATCTGGGGAACGCGGAGTTCGAAGACCAGGTTGGCCAGCAGTTTCCTCTCTCGCAGTGTACGGCGGAGCAACTTGAGACGACTGCCGCGTTTGAGCCGGTACTTCTTGAGTTGTGCGGGGGAGTCATTGCCGACGATATGGATGCGATTGTAGAGCTTGGCACGGACAGCTTTTT